AAATATCTTGCAGCAGATCGGAAACAGCGTCGAAAGACATCTACAATACAGATTTTGAATTAGGTCAAAACACCTTCATTGGGTGCGAGTCACTATGACAGAAGACAACTTTTCGCTCTTCGCAGCGCGAAACTATTTTCGCTGCGGAAGGCCCAGGTCCACTCGTGAGCATGTGTAGTCCTGAAGCTCCTGCAAAGAATGGAGATTCACGCTCTGATAAGCTAAAAAGCCGCTTTCCGTTCAGCGATCCACAACCTTTTTTGTTTGCGCCAAGTTGTAGATAATCATTGTTCTGAGACACAATATGAACAATAAAATCACATGGCACAATAGACCCGAAAATTTTATTACCAATACACACGACACCTACAAATAATGGACAGAAAGTGAACAAACACAGTTCATTCAAAACGAAGCTAGGGAAACAAAAATTATGTTACAAGTCTTTTTAGAGATCGCCTTGTTGCTTCCAGTGCCTTTCATTCCGAGAAAGATAGTCTGTGTTCCATTCGTAGTTTCGCGCATAACCGCACAACAGACATCTTCGTTGTATGACCTTCCGTTGCACGAAGTTTAATTCACACCGTTCCACCTTAATCACTCAAATAAATGACCGTCAGAGTAAATTTCCGAAGTAGACGCAATAGTACTCAACCAGTGGCTTCACTGATAAAATGCTACCACTGCGTCTACGGAGCACAACATTAGAGGGCCTCCTCATGAAAATGAATTTGCTTTATCTCTCGTTGAAAAGTTAGAAGTTTATCCAACACCTTGTTTGTCTAGCACTAATCGCACGTGTCCAGCCATCGAGCACAGTACGTTGAATAAAATTTGAAATCAAACCGATGTGTTGCGCTTTGATTGGATTGATGCATGACACATTTCTCCCTTTCTCCCATCACTTTGAAAATATGGGGTATTTAGGGTACACGACAGGAGGCCCGTCGCGCGGTAAGAAGACAGTAAGCGGCGGGTCGCAGCGCGCTGTAGTTTTCGCGTCAAGGTAGATAGAATGTACCATCGTGCGTCCTACATCGCACAGCACGCACTGCGACTCGTCCGCTGACTCTGCGTTCTTGCCGCGCTACGGGCCTCCTGTCGAGTACCCGAGTGTTAACCTGTACTTGATTAACAAGTTGGGCACGCTCGGTTGATTGATGGTCAAATAATTAAATGTTACGCGGGCTTACCGCCTGCTAAGCCTCGTGATTCCGCACACCTCCACAACTGCGATTGCGATAGGCTTCTAACAAAAACGCAGAAGGTCCCACAAATCCCATAATGAGAACAGAGCAAAAATTTTGTTGTTCTTTTTCCTGACCAAAATGGCGCGTAAAAATGATATCAAACCCTTGCGTACAGTGTGGTGCACATGATGCAGCACGCTCTTTCGTCTCTGCGTGGCCGCGTGACGCTTATGATGCACTATCGTTACTCGTAATGTTGTCCTTTACCCGCCTTTTCCCATGTTCTAGTGTTGTGTGAATATACCAGATTTGGATTGTGTAACACCTCCCTCTTGATGTAGCGAGAACCAGGAGTAAGTTAAAAATACATGAGCAAAAGGGAAAGAGGGCAATTCAGGTGGTGGGGGTTGAGCCACTTTTCGTGTCGCAAAAAATTGAGCATTAATGTCCAGTTTTGTCTCTGAGAAGGAGGCGCAGAGGAGCAAAAGGATTAGATTTCACAGCACCCCACAGGTATCCTATCCTTCCCTCAGGGAGACAGGGTTGCGTCCTAAGGACCGCGTTATGTTTTAGCTACACTTCCCTGTTGAGGCACCCTTTCTCTGAGGGGTCGCGCTTTCCGGAGTCCTAGAAACGCAGAGTATGGCTGGTCCTAGACGCAACCCTGTCTCCCTCAACCATATGATAGGATCAGCGGTGGGGGACGCGTCCCCCGAGGGAGGGATAGGATACGCGGCCCCAGATTTGTTACTTAGATGTCGGGCGACGTCACGCCACAAGCGACGTCGCCACATCCAATTTAAAATACTGTGGACTTATGGGCGGAAGGGCTATGATTATTATTCCGAAGCTATAGAAAATGCCTGCAGCGTGGCAAGTGGGCAAAAAATTAACAGAATTGTGTTTAACGGGCACTATAGCACTACTACTACACCAGTAGGGATGAAAAAGTCAGAAAAATTTTTCGGTGAAACTTTTTCTACGGGGCTTATCGGGGTTCCTGATTACGGAAATGAGATCCATTTACGACTGTATTTCGCTTGAATTCTCCCACTATATCAATTTACGACGAACTTGTGAATGATTCGTCGTAGCGCACCTGGCGCAATTTGAGGCGAGCTGCGCAAAACGGAAACTTTATATTAGTGATCAGGACCCTCGATAACCCCAAATCAGAATTTTTAGCGGAAAAAATCGACCCGTCTCACCCTCCTGGGGTTTCAATCGTGCAAATAGTGCCGAAAATACAAGAAAAAAAGTGAGAAGCCATGTACATGGGCGCAGGATCTAGGCTGACAAATTGATCAAGTCTACGACATCCACTTTTCTATGTTTTATAGTCAGAATCATTGACAGTTTCTAACTAATAATTGCAAACTGCGGCGGCTTCTGCCTTTAAACTAGCCGTTTGAAGAGCTTAACGGGAAAGAAAGACAATATTTATTTTTCTGCTCCTGTTGGTTTTCCACTTGCGATACCAAAAAAGACCTTAATCAAGCCATCTGAGATGGGATTTATACCCCTACTATAAACCTCAAATCTGCCTTCTACATATGTAAAATACTTTTTGCGCATGATTGCATCTTGTAAACTAATGGCGCTCGTCTGCGCCCTCTCGCTGATTAGATCATGAAAAGGTAAGTCTTAGGGAAAGCGATGCCAATGATTATTACCACTCACTTCTGCACTGAACGATCTCACGTGCTTCAATTTTTTGCCAAATGAGTGCGCTGTCGTTACCGACGCCCAGATCCCCTACCCCAAGATATGGCGACGGACTTTTGGTGCGTCCGGGGTTGCACGCGGCGAATCGCGCGGCGGGCTGCGCGGCGATCCGGACGAGGCAAGTCTTCGCGGGCTCCTGCAGTGGAATTCAACACGTCAGAACGTGTGCAGATCGCGGATAGAATCCACAAGGTTCTGCTTTGAAAGAAACTTCCCACTCGCGGAGATCGGTGAAATGCAGCGGTGTCAGTGAGAAGATTACAGCGAAAGGAGATGAAAGAGAGAAACTTCATAGAAATGTCACTATTATCATATTATAAATATGAATAAAAGCAACTAAAAATGGAGTCATTTAGTGAGATGTTATTTATTGTCAACTCTATATCTTTGCTAATGCTAAGCTATCTCTGTCCTTGGGGAGAACTTTCAAAACAGGGCCAATGGAAGGTGACACTAGAACTAAGCTCATGAGAAGGGAAATACGCTCGGGAGAACAGAAATTGCTCACATCCTCCACGAGAAACTCTTCCCTCAGGCTTAGTCCCAAACACAATAATTGGTTGAATCTCTCCGCTCATGGGATTCCCCCCCCCCCCTTAACAACAAGCGCCCTGATTGCTATAAAGCCTTTTGCTATTTCCTTTTTCTCCTTTCCTGCCGCTGCCTTTGGATATCCACTGTATTTATTCGCTTGCAATCAATCGAGATCGCAGAACCTTGTGGATTCTATCCGCGATCTGCACACGTTCTGACGTGTTGGATTCCACACCAGAAGCCCGCTAAGACTTGCCTCGTCCGGATCGCCGCGTGCAACCCCGGACACACCAAAAGTCCCGCACCCCCAAGCTTGTATCAGACGCTATGCATAAGTGAGAGAGCTCCGGGAGCCAGAAAGTATGTGTAAACAGCGCTAATGTCAAAACGAATGTCATATTCGTAATCAGGACACCAAATAACCCCTATACAGAACTTTACACCGAATTTGGTGAAAACAAGTGTCGTGACAAGGTGCGCCAACTGGCGCCAGATGGCGCCACCGCTAAAAATAAATGTCACTTTCGTAATCACGGCATCGACACTCGGCGTACGCATAGTAGCTCGTCCGATCGTAACGGTCTGATCGATACGCATCGAATGCACTGCGACCGTTAGGCTGGTGTCAGAGTCCGCGATCCGTCGCAGGTTTCGCTGATTTTCGCGATTTGCGCGATTCACGCGATTTTCGCGATTTGCGCGATTCACGCGACGGGTCACGGAAATCACAAGTGCCCGATCAATACTGCAAGGTGTTCTCCAATCCTGCCGCCACTTCTGCTTGATAGTGATGGCTGAATGACGACTGCTCATGATTCCACTTGTTTCATATTCAGTGTTTCAAATGTTCAAATGGGGCACTTGCAATTTTTGCGATCCGTCGCAGGTTTCGCTAATTTTCGCGTTTGCGCGAAACCTGCGACGGTTCGCGGATCGTTACGATCGACGATCGACTATGCATGCGCGCTTTTCAGCAAAGTGTCGGCGAAAAATAATATTTTGAGATTTTGAGGTTGTAATAATAGTTGAATAGCGCCGTTAGTACTACCCCACGATCCTGGCTTGTGGACAACAGCGCTTATCGCATTGGCATAAATATTCAATCAAACAAGTTTTACCTACTAGAAGGGCATGTTAATGCAAAATGTAAACTTAAAAGTAAACTTAAACTGTTGGGAGTTCCTCGATTCTACGTGTAAAAAAGGGCAAGTACTGGAAAAATAGAGCGGTTCAAAGAGGAGGTAGCTTAATTTCAGGAAGTTTTGAAGATAGATGTGAGATTTACCTGAGCAACGAACACCTGTTTGCATTTCCGGCAAAATGTTTGGCCTATGGCGGGTGTGATTTTCACTCGCTCTGTTTTCAGCACATCTTTGAATAATTTGGCGTATCGTCGAGCGAGTTTTGCATAGCCATCATTGATCCCCGAACCTAAAAAGAGAAAGGTACCAAATAGTTGAACATATTTTATGCCAAAGAAGTTCATTACTTTGGCATGATAAGTGTACAGCTCCTTGATGAAGAAGATTGAGACGCATGTGCGAATCAAGAACATGTAATCGAAAAGAGGACTCGCGCTTCTCTGCTGCTTCTTTTCCTCGCTTTCTCACTGGGTTACCATTTACAGCGACACTGGAGGAGGGAACCAGTACCGAGGATTGCGAGGTGGAATTAGCAGTATCGTCCATCGGAAAGAAGGATGAGTCCTAGAGCTAGAAATTCGAAGTTTGTAACCATCTAAAGAAGTCAAGCTGATTGTCCGGGAAATAGACAGCTCCTTGATCGGAATAGCTATCAACGTTGAGGTAACCCCTGTGAATGTATTGGTGTGAGTGAAAAGTAACACCTCTGAGAAGGAGCCGCGGAATTTTTAGGAAGTTTGTAAGGAACATCCCGAAGCTTACTGTTCAGAACAAAAGAATCCTACTCTCAAGCTTGTGCACTATTCCTCTTTACTGGCCCCAATATTTCCAAATTTAATTTCGCTGGAACTTTGCCTAGTACTTGGTATTATATAGAGGTATTTCGATACCCTGATGCAAATACGATATTCGTTCCAGCTCTGGCGCCATTTGACGCCAGTTGGCCCAACTTTGTTACAACGGCTGTCCACCAAAATTTGGTGTAAATTGTGTATAAGGGCTCACTTGATATAATTATCGGGTGTGGGTACTTAGGACAGAACGCGACTTTTTCGCTCTTCGCAACGCGACATCGCGCGGCAGGCTGGCGCACCCGCAGCGAAAACAACTACGGTATATAAGAACGCGCGATTGGAGCACGATATTTGTGTCGGCTTTGATTGCGACAAGGAGTTTGAAGCTTAAAAGCCACGAGTCAGGATTAGGCAACCAGCAGAAGTTCTTCCCAGGGTGCGATAGTGGGCTCCCCAAGCACTGAGGGCGCGACACTATCGCGACCCAAAAGTGCGCGGCAATGGCGCTAAGGCCTTGCCCGCCGCGCTGCCAGCGTAATCCACCACGGCATACGTGGTCTCTGCGTCCTCTCGCGTATGACGTACTATCTCGCGTTCTCCCTCTCCTCGCAGCGCTGTGTCTCTCCGTCGTACTACGGCCGGCCTCCTAAGGGAAATTTAGTGTTTTCTATGGTGCTTTTTGCTTTTTCTCCTCACTAATGTTCCTCATTGCACCCCTTGCCTAATGTATGATACAAAATAAGCATCAATTATCCGCGACTCGTGCTTTTAATAGCCATGGATTTGATAATGAACGAGGAAATGGTAACCAGAAGTGGACCGCTAACTAGCAGTGAAGAGGGAGGTAGGTTATTTTTGCAGAGATGGATGGTAGAGCTTCTGGAGAACCTGGAAGAGGAATGGTTGATGGACGTTTGATGAGACGACTGTAAACTTCTGCATAGGGGTTATTTGGGGCCCTGATCATGAATATGACACTCATTTTTCACATTCGTGCTGTTTAACGCATACTTTCTGCTTTTCTAAGCTTTCTCACCTACAGCGCCTACGACTAAGCTTAGGGGAGGGGAGTGAAACTCCGGAGTGGGTAAACCACGCACCGTGTGGCAAAAGTTGGAGTGTGTCAGACCACAGGGGAATGGCCTACCCACTTTGGAGCCCTACACTACTCAAAGGCTTAGTCCTATTGCGATCTAATTAGTGCGAGGGCGCAGACGAGCAGGAAGCAGGCGCCGAATAGCGCTAACAACAAATCAGGACCCCGAATAACCCCTATACAGAAGTTTACAGCGAATTTAGTGGGAATCAGTTGTGGCGCCACCCGGCCCCAAATGGCGCCAGCGTCAAAAATGAGTATCATATCCGTGATGAGGACAGAAGCGTTCCGTAAAAGATGTTATACCCTTATGCAGATGTCTATACAACAATATGAACCCACAAAATGCAAGCACAAGCGACACTATTAAACCCTCGTTCACCGATAATTCGTAAAACACCATTTGTGTGGCATCGCCCGGAATCGTGTAAGTCACAAAACGTTTTCAATAATGAGACAGAATTAGTGATTCACCGCATTTATCAATACAATGGGTGTGAGCGCGGGCAAGTAAGGAATCAGAAACTTACAAATTCACGCATGCAAAAAAGCTGCTCCAATCGCGCGTTCTTCCATACCGTAGTTGTTTTCGCTGCGGGTGCGCCAGCCTGCCGCGCGATGTCGCGTTGCGAAGAGCGAAAAAGTCGCGTTCTGTCCTAAGTACCCACACCCCTCAGCCCCGAGCCTCCTATCCACAGAGTCCTGCGACCTTATGCAACATCACCGAGGTCGTCGGGGATATGTCCCCGAAGCCGTATGCAACAAGCCCCGAGCGGATATATCCGAGACGAGCGTCGGGGCTTGTTGCATACGACTTCGGGGATATGTCCCCGACGAGCGTCTGGCTTGTTGCATACGATCTCGGGATATATCCCCGAAGCCTTCGGGGTTGTTCATACGGCCCTGATCGCGCTCAAACAAGTGAGAGGGTGCAGACGAGCAGAAAATAAGCACCAAATGGTGCCATAGCCAAAAATAAATTAATACGTGTTCTTAACACGTTGACGACATCGCGTGTTTTGGCATTTTGCACCGCGTGGGACAGGAGCGATTTTGCGAGCGCGCCGTCCTCACCTTACTTCCGCTTATTTTTTGTTTAAAATGCACAACAACTTGAATCTCATAGAATTATTTCGGCAAGGATGAAAGCATAAAGGTTAACTATATAAATAGCAGTAGATTTTTGTTTAGAAGAACGCATAATGACCACGAAGAAGCAAAAAACATCACTTTCGCTGCGAATGAAGTTAAAAGCATTTATATCTAAGTTCTTCCATCAAATACAAATATCTTGAAACTCACAGAGTTTTGTATTAACTGCTTCTACAATCTTTCATATGAATGTTTACGACAGTGAAATTATACTAGGAAAGTATCGAAACAAGACAGATAACAAAGGCCGCGGATTCACTGTTACCGTAATCCGTGTTAGCATTGGTGCGCGCTGCAGCAAGCATTGGCGCGCTTTTTAGGCGACGCAAGGATTAGCACGAAGAGCCAAAAGATTGGGAAAGTCACAAAGCGGTGGAATAAAGAGTAGACAAAGGAGCACAAAATAGAGCAGAGTTGGCAGTCCTGAGAGCTATCGCTTGATCGCTATCAGGACTAAGCATTTGGCGAGAGGAGGCTCAGAGGTGAGCAAGGTGAGCCACTCACCTTGTGATCTCACACATTTCATCTCTTACTACACGATGCGCAATTCACCCAACGCGGTGTTCCCCTTCCCATCAAGAGGCACTAGACCTAAGTGAGAGTCCAGGACAGCAGAAAGTATGCGTTAGTCAGCGCCAGTTCTAAAAGCGAATGTACGAATGTAATGTAATGTTAATGTAATGTAAGCGAATGTAATGTTTACGCCGAATTTAGTGAAAACAGCCGTCGTGACAAGGTGG